CTTCCTCCCGGGCTGGGCAAAGGGGACCCTTGGGGTGACCCCCCCGCTGGGCTCTTGGGGGGGGTTCCCTCCGTGCCCGGTACCGGGTGGTTCTGTTCCCACATCCAAATCACTGGCTGAGCAGCCTCGCAGCTCTGGGCTGACTGCAAAACCTGCCCATTTCAAGACCTTTTTCTTCCTTTTCCATTTATTTTTGTGTAGAGAACGGGGCACGTTTCTGGAACCTCCCTGTGCTGCAGCCTGGAATCTTTTAACAGCCATAAACTGGGGATCAGCACCTGAAACTCACCCTGATTTCTGCACTTGAAACACCCGATGCCTTTTTTTTTGGGGGTCAATTATTATTATTATTATTTCATTTCTTGATTCTGAAGCAAAGATAAAAGAGGAAAAAAAAAAACCAAACCCCACTGAAAACCCTCCTGGGAGAACAGGTTCAGTTCTCCCTCTGAAAACCAAGCAAGGCAGGGCTGAGTTTGGGGACATGTTGTATTTTTTTTGGAGGGGGAACATCAGGGGAGGGTTTCAGCCCTGTTGTTGGCCCGTTCCCTGCTCTGCTTCTCGTCTGTTCCCTTTGCCTTCCCCCTCCCTGCAGCCAGGGCTGCCCTCTCTGCATTTCCTGCTGCTCTGGAGATGTTCCCACACCTGAGTGGGGATAACCTGGGGGTTCCACCCTTCCCTCCCCTTGCTGGTGCCTTCCAGTGGGTCCCTGGGACACCCCGAGGCTGTGTTGGGGTGGGTGCACCTTTTTGCACCCCCCCAGGGTGAGCACCAGCTCTTGGAAAAGGCTCTTCAGGGCTGAAAGCACAAGTGTAATGAGTTTTTTTTTTTGGGGGGGGCTCAGCCTTGCCTGGGGTCTGCAGAGCTGTGAGCTGAGCTGGAGGGGTGAGGGAGTGGGGAGAGGTCCAAGATGCTCCAAGCAAAGGGATGCCAGGAGTGGGATGAGGACCTGGAAAGACTTGGAGGAGGCCAGAGGTTCCTTAGAGCCATGGAGATGGTCTGAGGGCTGGGGCAGCTCTGGGGACAGGCTGGGAGGGTTGGGGTGTTCAGCCTGGAGAAGGCTCCAGGGAGACCTTAGAGCAGCTTCCAGTGCCTGAAGGGGCTCCAGGAAAGCTGGGGAGGGACTTGGGACAAGGGCAGGGAGGGATGGGATGAGGAGGAACAATTTTAAGCTGAAAGGGGAGGTTTGTATTAGATATTAGGATGAAATTCTTCCCTGTGAGGGTGGTGAGAGCCTGGCCCAGGCTGCCCAGGGAAGCTGTGGCTGCCCCATCCCTGGGGGTGTTGAAGGGCAGGTTGGATGGGGCTTGGAGCAACATGCCTGGCCACCTGCACCAGGTGCTGTGCTGTGTCTGAAAGGTGCTGGGGTGACCCAGGAGGCCAAAGGAAGGAAATTAAAGGAAAAAAAAAAAGAAAGAATGAAAAGCTCTGGGCAGTGTTTCCATTCTCACTGCTGCATCAGACCTGGACCTTTTCATTTCAAGGTGCAATTTCAGGTGGTTTGCCACATGCAGGCTGCAAAAAGCACACAAGAAAGACATTCTGTCTGAAGCAGCAGCATCTTCCTGCAGACATCAAAGCATCCAGGGGAATACATTTATTTCAGGATCCTTTTCCCTCAGCACACGTGGCCACAGGAACAGCAATTCTTGGCTGCACTGTGATTTCTGGTTGGCAGGGGGGGTGTGTTGTTTTTCTGGAGAAGTGCTACTTACCAAAATACCCACAAAAATCCAGCCTGTTCCTTTGGAAAAAGAGCACCGAGGTGGATGTTGTCTTGCTGAAGAATAATAATAATAATAAATGTCTGCTTTGTAAGTCTCCTTGGAAGGGTTCAGGGATTTGCTTCCTTATGAGACCAATAAAATGCAGAACAACAGCCCTTTGTGCCACCTCCCTTGCTCATGTCAGAATATTATGAGGAAGAACTAATCCCAAAAACCAGTGTCCCCTCCTTTCACAGTTAATTCAGGATGCATTCATTACAGAATTGCAGGATAAAAAAATAATAATAACATCAAAAAATAATAATAACATCAACCCAGCAAGTTTTTTTTGACAGAATCTCCATCAATGGATGCAATTCCCAGGCTGGGAATGATGGGGATTATTGACCGTGTTCCTCTCCAGTGAGAATTCTTCTCCACGTGACAAGTTGGGAGAAATCTTGTTGTTGGAAAAATCTGGCACAACACGTAGCCTTTCTCCTCAAATTTCACAGGTGTTCAGGTTTCCAAGCTCAGTGAAATCTGGGGAAAGATTCTCATTTCCTTAAGTAACTTCAGCTTAAGGCAAACTCCTGCCTTGCCCCGGG